GGATCTGTTAGATGGTAGCGAACAGTTGAAAGTTGTTGAAACGTTTAGTAGGTAGGGGACAACTGAAAGAACCTGGATAATTCAAAACCTAGATTAAACCCTTTTACTATTTGTGATATCTAAGTAATTTGATTGTTGAGATTTAGATTAATATATAATCAATGTGAGTGCTTAGATTAAGTTAATACATAAGTAATTTGATTGTTGAGATTTAGATTAATATATAATCAATGTGAGTGTTTAGATTAAGTTGATACATAAGTAATTTGATTGTTGAGATTTAGATTAACATATAATCAATGTGAGTGTTTAGATTAAGTTAATACATAAGTAATTTGATTGTTGAGTTTTAGCTTAACATATAATCAATGTGAGTGTTTAGATTAAGTTGATACATAAGTAATTGATTGTTGAGATTTAGATTAACATATAATCAATGTGAGTGTTTAGATTAAGTTAATACATAAGTAATTTGATTGTTGAGATTTAGATTAACATATAATCAATGTGAGTGTTTAGATTAAGTTAATACATAAGTAATTTGATTGTTGAGATTTAGGTTAACATATAATCAATGTGAGTGTTTAGATTAAGTTACATAAGTAATTTGATTGTTGAGATTTAGATTAACATATAATCAATGTGAGTGCTTAGATTAAGTTGATACATTCTTGAGATTTAGGTTAATATTATAATTTTATTTTGTGTTAATCACTCCATCACCAGAATGAATTTTTACCCCAATCCATTACTAACGTAGGATGTTAATGTTTAAACAACGTCTGTCCCAACTATGCCTTTAAATTTGTAATGGTTTTTGTTAATATATTCCTACATTAAATTAACTTAAATAGTTTTGAAATTACACAAATATCAATATGATATTCGTCTATATATAAACTGATTTTATTGTAATGTGCTTTTTTCGCATTTTGTTGTTCTTTGGTACGTTTATCAAATTCATTAATAAATGCTCCAATAAAATCAAAGTTCTCTTTGTACAAGAATTTGGATTGTGTCATAGCAAATTAATAAATCTAAGCTAAAGTGTCTTAAACAAGACAATAATTACTGAAAGTTTACAACACATGGTAAATAATCTACACTAGAAAATATTGTTTTACAACATAACTTACATTGGAGACTACATGAAAGTTAACCCTAGAATTACCTATTCAATATATAGTATTATGTTATATCATATTCGGCAGTGATCGAGTTTTTCCAATACATTTTTCTAAACTATTTAAAAATTATACAATTAGTAATAATTGATAAGATAAGAAAACGGATATTTGTAGCTTTGGAGCAGAACCTAGAAATTGCCACAAGATTAAAAAATACGAAGGTATAACAGAACTTATGTATTTTGATTAAATTTAAAGATAAGAAAATGGAGTAATGTAAAAATAAACTAATTTTAAAGACTAGAGTCATAGTAGAGCGAACATCTTCAAAATACGTTGTTTTGGTTTACAGTACTGATTTCAGTATTTTATTAATGTATTTCATTTGTCCACAAATTTCACGTGTCGACGGACTGTTGTCCCACGTGGTTCGCGGATAAATATCATTTCGCTGTCACTGTATTGGTAAATATTGACAACAAACCAGCAGCCAAACGTCCACTGATAGTCCTAGAATACGACTGTATCAAAGATGGAGTCGATACTGCTGAACTCATATTAAGGAACTACTCAACTTTTAAAACGGTTTGTTTACTTATTTCGGATATTACAGCAAAGTTACACAAAAGGTACCTGGGCTAGCAGTCCCTAATTTCCAGCTGATAGACTAGAGAGAACACAGCTAGTCAACAACAGCCAGAGCCAACTATTAGACTGTCCTAATCGATTAGAGTGAGTAGACCATCATCTCTATGATGCACCCTCGAGTTTTTGCGAAAACGGGATACGAAGCTGGAACCTCGGATTCGCAGTAAATTATATATGATAATGTTGACGGGCCATATGCAAATTTGTCTAATTTGACCTTTCAATTCTTGACATGTTTATAAACCGTTTACTACCGGTAGGGGTCCACATATTGCGACACTTTCAGGAATTTTATGTTTCTGTCTATTACAACATCCGTTATAAGGAAATGACAAAACAACCAAGTGCAATAGTATTTTTTTTTTTGTAAATCAGATAAAGGTCTCCATTTGCAATTAGCAGATTAACTGCAGTATCAATGGTATTTGTGTGTGTGTGTTATTACAGATCCTGTAACGAACAAAGTCATAGATCCACAAGGAATTTGGTGCATAAGTAGTGTAGAACAATTAATATATACATTATCAGTAATTCTAGAATAAGAGAAGTTGAGTGTCTGAGGGGTCCGTTTTACCTTCGTTTTCTTTTTATGGTAAATATCAACTCAGTACCCTTTGACTTGGTTGCTAACTTTGTACTTAGTTGATATTATATTTCAAGACATCAGTATACTTTGGCATTTGACTGGGTTGCTAACTTTGTACTTAGTTGATATCATATTTCAAGACATCAGTATACTTTGTCGTTTGACTTGGTTGCTAACTTTGTACTTAGTTGATATCATATTTCAAGACATCAGAATACTTTGTCATTTGACTGGGTTGCAAACTTTGTACTTAGTTGATATTATATTTCAAGACATCAATATACTTTGTCGTTTGAATTGGTTGCTAACTTTGTACTTAGTTGATATTATATTTCAAGACATCAGTATACTTTGTCGTTTGAATTGGTTGCTAACTTTGTACTTAGTTGATATTATATTTCAAGACATCAGTATACTTTGGCATTTGACTTGGTTGCTAACTTTGTACTTAGTTGATATTATATTTTGAGACATCAGTATACTTTGTGTTTGAATTGGTTGCTAAATTTAAACTAAGTTGATATTATATTTCGAGACATCAGTATACTTTTTCATTTGACTTGGCTGCTAACTTTGTACGTAGTTGGTATTATATTTCAAGACATCAGTATACTTTGTGTTTGAATTGGTTGCTAAATTTAAACTAAGTTGATATTATATTTCAAGACATCAGTATACTTTGTCGTTTGAATTGGTTGCTAACTTTACTACAAAGTATATTGATATATTCATTTTACGTGATTTATAAACATTCTTAACGTTAATACAGCCCGTGAAACTTTCATTTTATATGATTTGTAAGCCTTCTTAGCGTTAATACAGCCTGTCAAAGTTTCATTTTACATGGTTTGTAAGCCTTCTTAACGTTAATACAGTCTGACAACATCTGATTTCTTCTATACGATTTATAACCCAAATTAAAAGTCAACACCAAACAAACATTCTGCATGGTTCTTAAGATGAACCTTCTCCGATGTATGATTATTATAGTTTGTTTAATACTAAGGTAGCATTTTCTACATAACCTAAAATCAATAAGTACCAACATTGTTAAAGTTAGTGGAATTTCTTCTTACATATTTATGGTAGTTAATAATCGTCAATTTTTACAGCAAAATTATTCTTACAGGAGACAAACAAAGAAAACAAAATACCGGTGTTTTCGTATGTAATATTTCATACTTCATCATGGACTACTTGTTATGTATTTTATAAACTAGGGTTAATCGCGCTTTGTAAGAACGATGTTTTAGGTTTACACTTTATATATTGTCCATCGTACTCATCAGATGGCCACAGTTGCGTATTATTGCTTTATCCTGCAAAAGATGATGAGGTCAAATTGAAGGATGGTGATGTCACACCGAAGGATGATGAGGTCAAACCAAAGGATGGTGAGATCAACCTGAAGGATGATGAGGTCAAACAAACAATGGTGAGGTCAAACCAAAGGATTGTTTGGTCAACCCGAAGGATTGGGGATGCCAAACTTAGGCTAAACACCTTGAGAAGTTTTCTTCAGACCATTCATTCTGCTTGGACATCGGTTTTTAATGGTACAAAAGTCTAATGGGATTGTATTGGTGGACTTGATCGGTATCTAATCAAATATATTATTGTGATTCTAGTTTCTAAAGAAAACAGTGGTAGGTTTGAGATGTGACTGGAGGCTTGTGAAGTTTGACTCGTGAGTTTCCTTCATGTTCAATTCTTAGTATGTTTTCTCATCAACAAAACCACGAGACATGCCCAGCTTCCATGCAATGGATTTACGGATCAGAGTTTGCTCTTTTGTAAACATAGTTTTCAGGATGGAGATAAATCTGTGTGAGATGTGGTTCCCATGGAGATCGTTCTTTGGCTCTACTATGTTTAATAATCTCGCTATACGAATTTCATCCTCAGAAAGTTCTGTGACATATTTATTCGAACATAAGATACCTTGGTAGTATTGCACTGCCGAAAGTAGAAGAAATCACCTTGAACCGTTTTTATAAAGTAGGATTAACCTTTTGCAGCTGTTTCATAGCAAAAATAAACTGTTCCTGCAAACCACAAGATTGTAAATTTTGTATACCTCAAGTCTCTTGTAAACGTATATATTCTACTTCTTAGTCTAATGTTTTGGAAAGAAAAAATTAAGCCGCTAACAAAGCACTCTACTTGTTGACATGATCACTCAAGTATTAAGACTTCTGTAACAAATAACTCATGCTACACATGCTTCACACAATTTTTAGTGATTTTTCACCAAACTGTTTCATCTTTTTCTTGATAATTCCGAAAATTTTCGTTGAGCCACTGAGTAGCTTATTCCATCTTCCAAGAGAGACCGGGAATTTTGGACATCCACCGGCTATGAGTGTTAGTTTCTTTAGGTCCTTTGACCACAGATCGCTTTTTGGACAAGCCCAGTTCTCGATCAACCAATTCTGGATCTTCCTCTGTTTCTTCTTCATAATTCATGCACACTTGTGAAGCTGTGACTTTTTCTCTCATCCGGAGCCTGGAGACAAATGATGAAAATAAGTTTTATAATCCATAACCACGAATAGCCACGTGTTATTAATTTTTTCACCTTTTTCTTTATTTTAGATTAGCTTATATTATTACACAAGTAACAATAAAACATGGATGCAACAGAATCACATTATATGAAAAATACATTACTTAATGTGTAATTCATAAACTAATATATTGTATATTTAAAAATTTGCCAAAATTAAATGAGGAGTGGAAATAGACTTTAACTATAAAAACGTCAAATTTCATAAAAAAACAGTTTTTAAAATAATACTCTTAATGCCTACTAGATGGCGAAATTAAACGTTTCAGAGAAATTTCAACATGCCTTGCCAAGTATAAAGAGTTGTATATCTAAAAATAAAAATGAAATTATTTCTAAAATAAAAGTCACCTTGTTCGCTTGCGAAGTTCACTGTCTATGAAATTATCGGCTGCTATTGTCTGCCAGTAGTTAAGAGGCCCTACCCCTGTATCTACGTAGATTTGTTCAGGGAATCGCTGGTTAATAGGCGGTAGCTTCAGAGATTCCAAAGATTTAGAGATGAACTGGAATGTTGAAATTAAGTAAAGTTTTCCTCCTATTTTTATACCAAAACAGTTTTCTCTTTTTACCGTAACACTTGTTTCAATAATTTTAATTTAATTTAATAGTTGTACAAAATATTTTTTGAATGTGTATGTAAACAATCAACTATAGCATACTCACGGTAAAGTTGTGATCGGATATCAATTGTTCTGTATACGTTCACATTAGTATAATTATTACCTAACACGTAATTGTTTACAACTAGATAGTTCAGTTTATTATTAAGTTAAAACCTACACAATGGGCTGTCTGCGTTCTACCCACTACGGTTACCGAAACCCGATTTTTCAGCTCTGTAAGTCCTCAGACTTACCGCTGAGCCACGGGGCTGGTGGCTAACTACATAATAATTACTAACTGGTCTTTATCTTAGATAACACACTAGTTCTATACCAAGAAGATCCAGGATTGAATTCAGGCACAGAAATAGTCCTTCTCAGAACTTCCCCGAAGACAACAGTAGATTAGCAACCTAAATGTGGGATCAAATCTGGATCGAATCCAGGCCACTAAAAACACAGAAATAGTCCTTCTCAGAACTTCCCCGAAGGCAACAGTAGATTAGCAACCTAAATGTGGGATCAAATCTGGATCGAATCCAGGCCACTAAAAACACAGAAATAGTCCTTCTCAGGATTTTTCCGAAGGCAACAGTAGATTAGCAATCTAAATGTGGGATCAAATCTGGATCGAATCCAGGCCACTAAAAACACAGAAATAGTCCTTCTCAGGACTTCCCCGAAGACAACAATAGATTAACAACCGAAAATGAGATAAGATCTAATTAGTAATTAGTATATCTGGTTATAACGAAAAAAATTAGGCAGTTAATAACTAAACTTGTGTAACATAATCTAATAACCATGAAAATGGTGAAAATTCTTTAGTGTAAGTTTATCAATTATAACAAACACAGTACATATATATATATATTTATCTATACTTATATTATGTTTAAAGTTCATTTCACAACTATTCAAATAAATATTAGTGTTTTTGTTGAAAATGTGTTATTTTAACATCTATAAAAACTGGATATCTTGAATCTCATACCTTCTGTCGTCTAGAATTGTCACGTGCTGGTGGAAGCATATTATCTTCAGAACCTAACGGTAGGTGGCGCTAGAGCAGGTTACAAATAAAATATCAAAGATTCGGCAAAAATAAAACTGAAATTGAACAACATGCATGGGGGGATTCATCTTCCCAGCTTTAAATTTTACTTTAAATAAAAAATTAAATAGGGGCTTTAAAAATAAAAATTAATAATTGTTATAAATTTTGGTTTCAAATATTCTGTACATGTACTTTTTTAGATCTAATCTAGTTCACAGTTATTTAGAGTATACATGATGTTAAGTACAAGTATTTAAAATTGTAATAATTTAGCTTTCTTCCCCAACTATAATATGTACTTCTAAAGAACATTTGATTTTTTTTATAACTGTTAAAGTTCTCTTTCGTACATTTTTCACTTTCTCAACAATAAATGTTCAAATTTTCTGATTTGAGTGTATCAATTAAAGACGACGTTGTTAATACCGGTCTCTCTAAGTAAGTTTTTATATTGTTAGGTTAAACTTTTGTGATATATTTAACTGTAAAACACACTTGAATAGTCTTACACAAGAGGGAATATTCATCTTAAACGTTCCATTTGTGCACGTGGTTTAAACAGCCAATCAGAGACCCCCTAGGATTTAGGCATAGTCGTCCAGACGGAAAGCAGTCGCCGCTGCCACAAGGGCTTTGTCCGTTTCTTTTTTTTTTTTAAGTGAATAAAGGACATAACTGTCAGTGCCATGTCTGGTCCAACAAAAAGTAATTCACGTTATCTTGTTGTCTTTAGTTTGGGTTTCGTTATTCTTGCATGCTTTCCAACAGCACCACGAGATTTTGGTAGGATTTCTAGTAACACTGACAGTTACTACTGTTTTACATCGATAACTTTAACTAAAAACTTATTTTGTATGATATGAAAATAAGAAGTACCATCTTGTCTCTTAAACAACTGATATAAACACCGTTGTAACTAAGTGTCTTTTAGTTGTAAACCAGCCAGCTTGATGAGCTCTGATATTAACAGAAAAACGCCGCCAGCAGCGACATGTAGCACACAAAGTAAAGTTGAAATGCTATCATACACACATTTTTCTGGAAAACCGTAACGGGCAGGTAAAGAATAAAGTGATTAAAATTGCTATCAGTCATACAAAACGCAAAACTGAGTATTGGTATGTTGTAATTCAGTGTAGTAATGAGCAAAATGTCTCGACTTCAATAGAGACATATAACAAACAAGGTTTAGTTGAAATGGGAATTTGAGGTAAACTTATCATTACTGTTATAAACGTGTTGTCCTCTAAGTTATATGTAATGGTCTTAATCCCACCATTATTAATGTAAGTTTTTATTAATGTTTAATATTCACGTTCAAGACCTTTCCAATATCTGCTAGGAGCATTTAATTGATGGTTTAAGTGATTTAGATACGGTTGTTAAATGCAGCATTTAATTTAAATTGCATTTGCTATGAGTCAGATTGGGCCATTATACTACATCTTAGGGGACCGTTTTATCCAACCTTATAGATAAAATGGTCTCCATCCACAAGAAGTGAATTTTTATCTTAGGGGATCGTTTTATCCAACCTTACAGATAAAATGGTCTCCATCTACAAGAAGTGAATTTTTCTATATATGTGTCCGATCTTTGTTTTAACTAGAAATGTCATTCATCTCAAATGGTGAAAACCGTTTTCAAAGTTTAAGTAGCTGTCTTGTCCCATTTTTCCTATAGTCTTCTTAGTAGAAAACTATAATGGAACGATAAAGAAACGTTCCATTATGGTCTAATGGCTAGAAATTTCGATTTGCAATCTGCTGGTCGCGAGATGGAATCTCGTTCCCGAACATATTCACCCTTTCAGCCGTTATGATATGATGGTCAATTCTACTATTCGTTGGTAAAGAGTGGCTCAAGAATTGGCGGTGGGTGGTGTTAACTGGTTAGCTACCCTCGAGTAATTTGGAACGAAATTCTAACCTTCTCTCTCTGGTCAGTAGTCCAAAATATAGCATACATATACCTAAACTTTAAGGGTCTCTGAACTGGCTGTTTTCCCATGTGTTGTGTAAGGTGTCATTCGTATTAAAAATACCAACACACGTGTTTTGTACTTTTTAAAACAAATATCCACTGCTGATTGACTCTTACAGGGGAAGCATCAGCAACTAGAAATAAATAGAATAACTTATTTTATCGCATCTTTTCCTCGTGGAAACTTGAAATCAAAAGAAATAATTTATTTTATCGTACCTTTCTGTTAAACGAATCTACGTAATCCTGGAAGCTTTGTTTTGAATGACAACTAGAAAGGTCATCAGATCGACTTTTGTGGTTTATCGGTTCCAATTCCATCATCCAGCTTTCGTGAATGTGTCCTATTTGCTTATGGCGAACCCCTACGTCATCATTGAAGGTTTCTTGGATTGGCTGTTGAGAAAGAGGATCTATTTCATCAGTTCAAAGTTAAGAAAAAATAGCCCTTGAATAGCTTTGCGCGAATAGTTGAAACAAAACAAACTATAAAAAAGCAAAAACCGAAATACAAATCATGAAAGAGTTTTCTAAACTATTTTATAGAAACTTAGAAACTTAAAAACTCTTCATATCTTGAACAGAACACTCAACTATTTATATTTCATTCCTACTGGGAAAAATTTATTATTATTATTATTGTGTGTTTTGTTTGTTTGTTTCTTGCACATGCTGCCATCTACTGTATCTCAGTGTAAAGTATTTCTCTCGTTTTTTTTGCGAAAAAAGATTATAATAAAGTTAAAATAAAAAGTGAATTGAAACATACGTTTTTAACTGTGTTGCTAAAACGGAAACGAATTTAACACATAATTTTTAACTACGTTGAAAACACCAAAACTACTAACATAAAAATTAGTTGAAGAAAACATTTTTAAAAACGTTGCTAAATTTCTTTTTTTTAAATATGGGGGATTTGGCCACACCTACATTCTACTGGACAGATGGTCAGAGAACGTTAAACTCTGCTCATGAATATTTCGAAAACAACTTTCTAAGTTCCGTTTGTCTTCTTCAGTGACACAGTGTAGATTCTTGACCAGTTCTTGGACCACAATTCAATAATTGACCAGTTCTGTTGTTCTCTGAGGATTTTTTTTACCACAAAGTAGCAGCGGCTATCTGGGCTAACCTTTTTTGTGGTTGTTGTTTTATTTGAAACAAATAATCAAATAAATAAATTAACACACGTAAGCGTATATAAAACTAAAATGTATAAAACGCTTTTTCTTTTAAAAAAAGGGCTAAAATTAATCAGAATTAAAAAGGCTCCTAAATAATTAAAACCTTTACCGAGGTGGACAGTGTCCATCGTTTACAGTGGCATTCTCAATGCCAAAAAGACATCAAGAGGTAAAACCTTTCTAGAAAAAGGGCACTCAAGGTCGTAGTGATGATAAGATCAATTCTAACTAAATACAATTTCATTAAACCTCTCTCTGGTGTTCCCCGGTGGGTAAGTTTACGGACGTAAGATGCTTAAATCCAGGGTTCGATTCCCCGCGGTGTACATAGCATATAATTCCCTGTAGCTTTGCTCTAAAATAAAGAAATAAACTCTCCGTGAGTTTTTTAGTCACTAATCGCCACCTTTAGGTGTAATATCAAATAGTGTAATTCACGTCAATAGATAAATGTAATAGATACTATTAAATAGTGTAATTCACGTCAATAAATAAGTGTAATAGATACTATTAAATAGTGTAATTCACGTCAATAGATAAATGTAATAGATACTATTAAATAGTGTAATTCACGTCAATAAATAAGTGTAATAGATACTATTAAATAGTGTAATTCACGTCAATAGATAAATGTAATAGATACTATTAAATAGTGTAATTCGCGTCAGCAGATAAGTGTATTAAATAGTGTAATTCACGTCAGTATATAAGTGTAATAGATACTATTAAATAGTGTAATTCACGTCAGTATATAAGTGTAATAGATACTATTAAATAGTGTAATTCACGTCAGTAGATAAGTGTAATAGATACTAGTAAATAGTGTAATTCACGTCAATAGATAAGTGTAATAGATACTATTAAATAGTGTAATTCGCGTCACCAGATAAGTGTA